ACTTTATAAGCCTATTTATAATAATAAATATACTATTATAGAATACTCTAGTTATTAGGTCTTTAAATAGTAGAAGCTTAGTAATATAATCTATATAATAATTTTAAGGTTATTATACTACTAGTAGTAATTATAGTATCTATAAGGCTTATATTATAGTAATTTTAACTTTTTATATAAATTACAGCCTTTAGTAATATCTAAGATAACTTTCTTTATTTAGGGAATAAGTATATTATTCTTAGTTTATTAAGGTTTATTAATATTTAATATCTATATAGGGATATTTATATATTTCTATACTAGCTATTCTTATAGTTTATTAGGAACTTATAATTAGTTTATTTATTCTTCCTTAAGTAGTATATTATTATACTTCTAGATTTCTTTAGTAATAAGTTTTCTTATTTTATATATATATTATTATAAGAATTTATTTATTAAGTTTATTAATAAATATTTAATTTATTTTATTATATTTATATATACTATCTATAGATAGTTATTATTTTTTAATATTATATAGTTATAGTAAAATCTTTTATAGGCTTAGCTTCTTATAAGCCCTTAATTTAATAGTATTCTATTTTTTCTTTAAAAGCTAGGTATTAATTCTAAGATATAAATACCTATCTATAGTATATTAGTATTCTATAGTAATAATTAATTTATTGGGAATATTTATTATTATTATTATAAAATAAGTATTCTTAGTGATCTTCTTCTACTATTTCTTACTAGGTATCTTATATATATTATACTATTTCTCTAGGTATTTTAAAGATATATAATATACTTCTACTTAAGATATCCTTTTAGAGTTAGCTTAAGAGTTATTTATTCTTCTTAGTAATACTGTATTAAAGTTAGGTTGTTAGCTAATAGTATTAGCTCTGCTATTTTCTAATTTCTTTTTATAGATAATAATATAATTAAATTCTAATAGGTACTCTATATAGTAAAGTTACCTACTACTAAGCTTTTAGTAGTAGTAAAGTATAAGATATTCTTATAGTTAATATAGACCTTAATTTTATACTTATTTTCTAAGAGGTAGTATTAGAATTCTTTAAATAAGTTAACTATAGTAAGAAACTTTTATTATAAATAGGGTAGTTAAGCTCTACTCTATATAATTTATATAAGTAGAAGGCAATTAGATATAATTTTCTATTAATATCTCTTTATTTAATTTGGAATTTTAAATTAAAATTAAAAGAGTCTATCTTAAGCTTAACTTCTTTCTTTAAGTTAAATATAACTAAAATTAATTTGCTAAGAATTATATTCTTAATATTATTAAAAGCCTTTTATACTTTAGTATTCTATTTAAATTTACTTCTTTTTTTATAAGTTTTATAAGAGTATATTAATACTTTTAAAGTTACAAATAAACTTTTAGTAGTAATTAGCAAATCTAAGAAGCTTTATATTTCTTTAATATTTCTAGTTTTAGCTAATTTTTAATAGCTTTAATCTTCTTTTAATTTATATAAATCTTATTTAGATAGATAGTATATTTAAGGAAGTTTACTTTATTTATATAAAACTTGCTTTTCTCTAATTTAATAAGGAGGTTTATATTTATAGTTTTTAAGTATTATATAGATATATTCTATATATTCTTCTTTATATTAGAGAAGATAAGAATATTATTAAGGTAATATATAATAAAGATATTAAGATATTCTATAGTATATTAGTAATTATTATTAGAAGGTTGCGGTATATTAGTAATTTAAAAGCATAACTAGATATTTAAAAAGTCTATATTTTATATAGAAGGCAGTCTTTTATTTATCTTCTAGCTTAATATAGATAAGGTTATAAGCTTTTTTAAGGTTAAGGCTATAAATTACTTCTTATTATATAATTAATCTTTTAGTTTATTAATAAGTAGTAATAATATTGTTCTTAATAGTAATATTATTAAGCTATCTATAATTTATAACTAGTTATAGTTTTCTATTCTTCTTTGAGATAAATATAACTAGGTATTTTATAGAGGACTTTAATATCCTAATAAATCTCTTTTTTAATATATCTTTAAGATATTCTTTTAATATATAAAGTTAAACTTTATTAAGGTTATAAATCTTATAGAACTTAGCTTAATTCTTCTTTAGTACTATTTTATATCCTATTAATTATACTATAGTAGACCTATTTCTATTTCTTCAGTAAATAGCTTTTTATAGATATAGTAAGCAGGGGGCATATTCTTAAGCCTATTATTTGCTTTCTTATATTTCTTTATTTCTTAATTCTTTATTAAGCTTTGTAAATTGTGCTTATATATGTAATAGTTAGTATGTCTTGTTATTTTAGGCGTTATAGTATTTATATTTAATGCCTCGGGTAGTAAAGTATTTATTATGTTATTGTATATTACTTTGCTAGTGCTTTATTAGTTGAAGTTTAAGATCTTATATTATTATTTAAATTCTATTTATAGAAGAATAATTATTAATATTATTAAAGGTTATTTAACTAGTCTTTAATTAATTAGTAGGTTTACTTATTATAGCTATAAGTAGCCTAGGATTAAATTATATTGTACGAGGGAATAATATTAAAAGAGATATCTTTATTATATTTATTTATAAAAACCTTAAGGTAATTAACCTCTCTAATAATATATCTCTATTATAACTAAAACTTATTTCTTTGAGATTCTATACTTAATATAGATTTAATTTATCCTTCTATAATAGCCTTAGCTTATTTATTACTCTTAGATAAAATAGTTAAGTTCTATACTACTATCTACTAATATAGTATACTAGTATCTCTTAATTTATACCTAAATTTCCAAGTAATCCATTCTTATACTTCCTATAATATATAAAGCTCTTTTTAGAAGTTTTACTTCTTCTAGCTCTTAGCTATTTATTACTTTATTATAAAGGGTAAGAATAGTTTTTTATCTGTATTTAAACTACCTTATACTATTCTTAATCTTTAGCTTATCTACTAATTTATTATTAAAAGTTAAATTTATTTTTGTATATTTTTTAAAAGTAATTATAGATAATCTTCTTCTTCTAGTTATATATTATACATCCTCTAATACTACAATTTATTGTAAATACTTCTCTATATATCTTATTAGATATAGAAATAGGTATATATTTCTTCTTTATTCTTTAAGAATAAAAAGAGCCTTTTCTTATTTTATAGCAATCTTCTTTATTATATCCCTTTTTATATTTACACTACTTACTTAATATTGTATTAGCTTTTTTTAGTTTAGTTATTATCTTTTCTTATCTTATTATTCCAAGCTAGCTTTTAATTTCTTTTTGTTAAGTATTATTATTAGATAATTTATTATATATAGCTTATTCTAATAGAAAGTATTTTTATTCTTCTCTTATCTAATACTAAAGTTATATCTTAGTTTTTATATAAATTTGGTATTTTTAGTATTAGTAGTTCTAAGAGTTCTATAGTTTTTATAGATACTACTATAGAAATCTATTTATCTTAGTTTTTAAGATAGTAATATAGTATTTTGAGTAGCTATAGATATTCTTATAGTATTTTATATTATTTTTATATATAGTTAAGTAATAGGGATTTCTAGTAGTCTTAGGAGATAATAGTTATAAGTTTATTTATTTTTATATAGTAGTAGTATTGTAGGTAGTAATATAAGATTTATAAGATTTAGTTATATTTTTCTATATTAAAATAAAAATAAAGTTATTTTTAAATTTTCCTCTAGATTCTACTATATAATTTTTAACTTTATATCTTATTATTATATAAAGGTAAATAGATTTATATTTTTTAGTATTTTGTTATTTTTATATAAGCTATTAGTATATAGCTTTTTTAGTTTTCTATTATTATTTACCTTACTTATTAAGTATAGTCTTATTTTACTATAATTTTTCTATTGCTAATTAACTTATTTCTTTTAGGGTACTAGGTATATATTTCTTTATATAGAGGTTTAGTTTTTTTTTATTACTAGAGTTAGAGTATTTATTTTTAATATTATAGTTATCTAGCTATCTATTTAAAATATCTTTTTAGATATTTAGTATTTCTAGAGTTTCTTTATAATAAAACTTAAGTTACTTTTCTTATTATACTATAGCTATAATATAAGATATCTTATTAATATAGTTAGTAATATTAATATTATTTTAAGTAGGGACTAATTTCTAAATATTCTTATTCTTTTTCTAGTTGTAATTTTATTTTTTCTTTAGTCTAATTATTTATTCTACTTTAATTTCAATATCTATCTTTTAATATTATATAGTTTATTTCTAGGCTTTCTTAGGTATATTATTCTTAATTTCCTTTAATATTCTTTAGGTATAAAATTCAAGAAGTAATATATTATTAAGATATTTATATTTCTAGTTATAAGTTCTACTAATATCTAAAATAACCTTCTTTTAATATTTATATTCCTTAGAATTTTTATATACTCTATTAAACTTTCTATTATAGTTACTTTAAGTTATAGTAATAATTTATATTTATACTACTATCTTTAATTTCTTCTATCTTTAAATTATATATAGCAATTATTATCTAGTAGGTATAAGTTAAAACTATTATTCTTTCTTTAGCTTATAGTATTCTCTTATAAAGTATTCTTTCTTATTATAGTTATAGTATATAATATCCTTTTTATTTTAAAGCTACTTCTATATAGCTCTAAGTTTTATAAATCTAGTATATATTTCCCAAGAGGTACTTCTACAAGAGTTACTCTAGTAGCTGCCTCTTTATCCTCTATTAGATCCTTGCTAATTGGAGTAGTAGGGATTATATAGAATATCCCGACCTCTTTAGTATATTACAGCTTTTTCCCTATATCTTTTATACTATTATTCGTCGATTTTAACAGCTATAGTAATATATTTTATAAGAATATTAAGTTAATTAGCTTTATAAAGCTTGTCCTTAACCTTATCTTTTAGCCTCTAGTAGAATATTTCCATAAGTATCTCGTCCTTTTAGTCTAGCTTAGAGGCAACTCATCGGAGTATAATAGTATAGGCAGCAGCAGAGTGGATTTGCTTGAGTATATGAATCTTTACGGCTGCCTGCCTTTCTTCGTTAACTATTCCAAATATGTTTTTAAGGGCTATTTTAAAGTTTTCCCAATCTGCAAATAGGTTAACTATATCTTAGTCCTGCTTGGCTTTGTTATTATTAAGAAAGTTTTTAAGGATAGGTTTAAACTAATTCTTAGTATTACTAGCTATTAAATTACTTATAAATAGTAGTTGTAATTTTATAGATACTAATTATTATAGATATTATTAGAAATATCTTTTTATCCTAGTAATAAAGGGTATAATATTACTAGATATTTATTAAACTTCTTAGGTAATAGTAATTTTATTACTTCTTTTAAGTTATATTTAGTATTTATAGTAACTATAGCTAGTATATTCTATATTTACTGCTATAAAATGCAGATTAGGTTATTTAGGTATATTATTTAGCAGCTATATTGGTATTATTTATTAGTATATATAGGCTGGTAGTATAGGTATATTACTTAGAATAATAAGAGTTTAGTTAATTCTAAATATCTTAATAATATAAGATATTACTTAATAGTTAATATAAGTAACTATTCTAAATAAGAGCTATTAATATATAATAGTTATATCTTCTAATCTGCTATAAATATAATTTAGGGTAGGTAAAAGGCAGGATACTAGTAGATAAATTATAGATTTATATTAGTAGAGTAATTAGGGTGTTACTTATAGAGTAAATATTATATCTAGTAATAATTAAGTATAATAATATATAGTAAGTTAAGATAATTAAGGTAACTAAGTTATATTAATAGCTAAGTAGCTATATATAGTAAATATATACTACTTAGTTAACTATATAATTATAGAAGATTAATAAATTATAAGAATTATCTAATAATTCTAATAATTTCTATATTTTTAAATTACTTGGATTATCTAATAATTAAGGTAATTTATATATAATAGAAGGGAATAAGTAGGTATACTATTAGTATATATAATATAGTTAGGGCTTAGTTTAATATGGGTTATAATACTAATTTAAATAACTAGTATAAGTAATAATTAATATTATTATTACTACTTTAAATACTATTTATATAATTAAATTAACTATAATAAATTTAATATAAGATATTACTTAAATATTTTACTTTAATACAGTAATAATTTAATATATATATATAGCTTATGTAATAAATAAGTATATATAATAAAAATCCCTTAATCTATATTATCTCTATTTAATTAATTAATTTTTAACTACTTAGTATATTATAATTTAATAATAAAATTAGAATTTTTTTAGCTTTTTAAGCTTTTTAAAATAACTTAAAATTAAAGCTTTAATATATTATAGAGATATATAATATTAGTTATATAAAGCTATAATACTAGTAATAAGATATTTAATTCTAACTTAATTAAATTCCTAAATTATATAAGCTTTTTAACTTAAAAAAAGAGATTTTTATTTATTTTATTTTTAACTTAAATTTATAAGAATTTCCTCTTTAATTATATAATATAAAAGATATAGCTAATTAATTACTTACTAATTATAATATACTATTAATTAATATATATTAAGCTTTAAATTTTATTAAGTAATATTTAAAGCTTAAAATATATTTCTTTTATAAATATAATTATTAAAAAGCTAAATATAAAAATCTAATTATTATTTATAATTAATTTTAATTTATAGTAAATATAATTATAAAATATAATATTTATTTAAATAACTTTTATAATTTTTATAAAATTAGCTTTTTTATAAATATAATTATAAGTAAAATAATTATTATAAGCTTAAAAAGATATTTTAAAGTTAAAATTAATATAATTTAAAAATTA